TGCTGATGTTTTCATCTCCTCACCCGTCTTGAGGTACTTTGTGAGGATATCCGCAGGATTAGTGGTGCCATCAATCTTGCCGATAATAACCTTCCTGGTTTTGACCAGGTCCTGGATCACCAAGTGTCCAATGTCTATGTGCCTCATCTTCCCAACTCCCATTTTCTTAGCTGACTGTAGCGCAGCCGAAGAGTCACACCAAATCCTAGGGACACTAACTGTCATGCCGAAATCTTCCTGTGCAAGGTTTCGGACAAACACAGCACTCAACGCACAGTGGTTCAGCGCTCGCATCTCAGCTTCCCCTGATGAAGTAGCAGGGGTGCCCTGCTGAGTGAAGGAACTTGTTTCGACCGCCGTCCCTCCTAGGAACAGGATTTCTCCCGTAGTGGACTTCCTGCTTTCCTCGTCTCCTGCCCAGTCCGAGTCACAATAGCAGTGAAGAGACACTGCTTCGTCTGGGCTCTCATCTCTCACAGAAACATGACCATAATCCTTTGCACCCTGCAGGTACCTACCCAGAGTTTTGAGATTTTGCATGTCACATGCTCTCGGCTCTCTGATTCTCTTCGCAAGTTCTTTCACGCTGTATTTGATATCAGCACGGTCCTGGCTCAAGTAAATTGCACTACCGACACAACTTGCGTACACTGCCTTGTCGCCTTCTCCAAGCAACTTGTCATTCTTCAGGTCCAGCTTCCTGCCTGGCACTGGTGAAGACTTTGCCTGCTCCAAGTTTAGGCTTCCCAAAATGTAATCGATGTGCTTCTTGTTGGGTTTTGTGATGACTGCATCTTCGGTGTTGATCTTTGTCCTACCCAAGTACTCAGAGGAATTTTGGTTCCCCTGTCCCGGGTACTCGTACTCCCCGACCTTGATCTTGCAGCCGTTCTTGGGGAATTGAACCTTCAACAGATCATCGAGCATCACATCCGGTCCACAGACATCAAAGTCGTCAATGTGATGGATGAGCACGATGTTGGTAAGCTTGCATTTGTAGACACAAGCATCCAGTTTTCCCCGAGAGAAGGAATATTTGTCCTTAGGTAATTTGTGCAACAATATCTCTTCCAGGCGATCCCTATAGGAAGCCGCAGCTGGCTGCCTTCCATATAGGTTGCCATCAACTTGCCACACGATCTGCTCCTTGGGAACGTGGGAGAGTTCGAACTGTGCCTTCTTGCTTTGCCGCAACAACCATGACTCATAGTCTTCAAGCCATTCAGCTGGAGGACGCATCATCACCGGTTGCCCTTTGTCATCGCCTTGGTCTTTCGCGATGAGGAATGCTGATGTCAAGTCCGCCTTGACTCTTGGCATCCCCACCTTAAGGCTGTAGACTTCCAGCACCTTTCTGCTAACTGCGTGAGGTGTGGGGCAGAAGTTGTTCGCCCCCTCTGAGCTGTGTCTCTCCTCTGTCGTCTGTTTCTTCTTGAAGTCTTGGCAAGTGAGTCTGCTTTTCACTCTTCCTTCGCTTACCTTGTCCACCCATCTGTGACCAAACACTGTGATCCCCTTCGGCAACTCCCTTCTATCTCTAGGAGTGAACGCCCCGAAGAGGTCTTCAAGCTTGATGATCTCTTCCCTCCTGGCCTCCTTGAGGTCTGTCTCGTTGGGCTCGAGGGTGTCAAGGTAGTCCATGATGTTGGCTACCAAAGTCTCATCAAAGCTTTCACGATTTCGGTTCATCCACTTCTTGCACTCCGCCACGTCCTTGGCGCTTGCCTTGTCCACAACTTCTTTGG